AGTTGGTCCTAGAAACATCACTAGATCTCATTAATGGGTTCTGTACATCTAGGCAATTATTCTGGCTATAATAAAAGAGTAACTTAAAGTTTTCCCATGACATTTGGAGAATAACTCAATGGGCCTCATCTATAACATGGGAATAAGAGCTGAACTTATGGCAAAGCCTGGCCATAAGGATGAAGGGAGAAAATGCATGGAAACTACTAGATTTCAATGTCAGTAAGTTAGTCCTGACACTTATGCCTGCTGTTGCATCTGAGTCAGGACATTCCACTTTGTGTATTAGCCAGTTGGTCCAACTTCCAAGAATCCAGCAGTTGATAACTTGACGATGGATGAGTCCTAGTCACCTATCACCAGCCCACATCATACAAAGTGACCTCTCCCGTCCCAGGTGCATTCTAAAGCTAAAGCAAAACTGAAAAGTGCCTGAGAAAACATTAGCAAACTGCTCTGCAATCTCACACTATTCCAAACCTCCAACCACCTCTATGATCACAGTTCCCTCTGGACAGAGTTTCATACTGTGCTCCATTTTTGATCATTATCAAGTGACAGCTGTGTCTCAAAGTGCTCGCCACAAAAGCTGTTACTGCTGCTTGCAGGAACTGATGCTAGCCTTTGTCACAACTTTTAAAGGGATGAACCATTTCAACTTTGTTTCACTCTCAAGTTGAAAACCAACTTTAATCCTGGCAAGAAGAAAAAACAGCTGATGTGAGGAGTTAGAGACCCAGAAGTTTGGGCACACATTAGGGATTAGGTTCCTGGCAGCCTTGAAATATTTTTTCCCCCTTCCTGTTCTGAGAAAGCTTCTGTGGTGTTCTGTAAGTAACTGGGATGGATGTGTTTGGAAGGACTGTAGCTGGCTGACACCCAGGAGCCTTGGAGGATCTGATGTCCCTGTCCTTTGGGTGTGTGTGGGATGAGAGTTAGACCATCCTGTGTCTGTCTTCGCCCCACTGAAGATGGTGGAGCTGGGGTAGGGGCTCAACCTCCCTGAGCCTTGTTTCCAACATTTTCTGAAGGGCATTAGTACAATGGAATTGACCTGAGAGTCCAAGAAACATACATTCACAGCACTTCATCTATGCCAGGTACTCAGCGAGTACTTCAGGAACAGGAGCCATGCTCCTGCACTTATGTTAGATATCTGAATTCATCTACCACAGCAAATGCAATTCAAATGTAGCTATGGAACATTGTTCCAGGTCACCCAGATTTATGCCAAGGGCCAGAAAGAGCTGAGTTTCCTACCCAGGTCTATCTATTTGAGGTTGCCTTTCTCTCTGAACCCCACTTAAGCTTGGGAATCACTTGTCTTATACAAGCTTCATGCCCAAAGCATCATATCACAGTTCTTGGACCTTTCCCCTTTGACCTCTCCAACTCAGTCTCCTTCTCCAAAACCTAGCTACTCTGCTCCATGGCGTCTTCATGTTTATTGTAACACATGCTACAGAAATGTCTCTTGCTTCATTGCTTTGTAGCTGCTGGTGGCTACTGCTCTCTCTCTGAAATATCCCTTCATTTCTGCTTTTTCCACAGCAGGCTCCGGAAATTTCAGCTTATGGTTCTCCCAAGAAGGATCTCGGGCGAATGTCCTGGTTAAAATAATATCCTCCCCACTTTCCCCCTTTCTCAGCTTCTGTCTTAGGCAATGCTTCTTCCACTTATCCCTTCCCTTTCCTATTGCTAGGCTCTGTCAATAAATGTAACCTACAAAAGGGCAGAGGACATCTTTTGGGGCACTGCTGTGACTCCAGCATCTAGCACAATACCCAGCATATAGGTGCTCTGTAAAGATGCTGGGTGAATGAATGAGCTCCAGGACCAGCATTCCTGCTAAACCCTGGACAAGGCTGAGTAAAGTATTTGAATGATATGAGAGAAGGACCTGGGTACCTGCTTGCCTTGCCTTTTGGCCTCCTAAAAGAACATCGTGAAGCTAACCACAAGCCAGAGACCTTTCCAAACAGTCATCTGCCATAAAAGCACATCTTGCAGGCAAGGGAAATGGGTGGATAGTTGCTAACTATATCTTCCAACTGGGTTGATCTTTGAAAAGTTTGAGAGGCGCCTGCCTCCCTCAATCCCAGGCTGCTGCTGCTGAGGCCCCTGAGGGAGGAGAGGAGGGTGCGCTTGGGCGCCTCTTGGGCTGGCACGAGGAAGCCACATCTCATCCGCCCTCCTCCCCCAGCTCCTCTCCAAGAGAGGAAGCAATGCAGATGGAGATGAGAAATAAATATTCCTGCCTGCTCTGCGCCACTGCAGACGTTTTCCAAAATGTCTGGCTTGGACCACAAAATCAAGCCCACCCAGGAAAGGAGGCGCTCAGCAGGAGAAAGAGGGGGGACAGGGTGGCATATTTGTCGATAAGCGTCAGCTTTCTGGGGGGCCGAGCACATGGCTCATCTTTGGCAGCACTGCTGAGGTGGGGATGTGGTAAGTGCACATTAACGTTCAAAGAATGGAATGAGTAAAGAGGAGCGGAATTAAAGGAAGGCACAGTACAGGCTCTACACCTCTGTCCTGGGTCCTGAAACACATACAGCTGCTTCCC